GTGATCTGTATCTAGCGCTCATAGGAGCGATTATATATATCAGGTGTACAACTTTGCCTCCGCCGTTTTCCGCTAGGTGGCGGTACCAACAAATGGAAGCCGCATCCGAGCTGCTGATGGTTATTTTATGAGGAGCTTTATTTCATGTCAGAAATACACTCGGAGGGGTTTCCCGCCGAGTGGCGACCGCAATTAGAAAATTCAACTTAATTTTTTATTTAAATAAATTTTCTATAGGCGCGATTAGATCATTAGTGGATAGAAAGATAATGATGATGAAGGGTTGATCACATGACTCAGTAGTGTTTGAGCGCATGGCAAAGACGGAAACCAGCAAAGAGTAAATTCGCTACTTCATACAATTTTTCTTTGATAAAGTCGAAAACTCAAGTCAGCCAGCTCCACAATTGTGACGATTTCGTTCCGGTATTTTTGATGTAAAATATGCGCCATGGTCTGGAAGCCCAATTGTCGATAATGTCAGTATACTAAAAGAAATCGTAGAACCTGATCGACATGCAAGTACTTTTTCGATTGAAAAGGAGGTGAATATTGCACCAAAAATAGTTTGGAGCCACGTGAATAAGGCTGAAAGTATAAAGTGGCTCTTTGTATGGGTTAACAAGAAAAGACCTCATGGACCGATTTCCATAAGCGAATCGCTGCTAAATCATAACAAAAGCGACACAGTTCTCCAAACGGAAGGCAACTAGTAATGAAAAGTGGATTACTTACAGTAACATCAAATAAAAATGGCCGTGGTCGAAGGGCAGTGAACCGGCACAAACGATCTTTAGGCCAGAATTGACTGTGTGTTTGATGTAATCGACAAGAAATCATTCACTATTAGCCGTTCCCCCACAGCTAAACTCTTAATTTCGACCTATATTGCCAGTAATTGGACCGTCTGAAGAAAGCAATCGCCCTAAAGCGCTCAGCTTTGGCCTTCAGCTGGAGAATTATGTTGCATTAGGGCAACGGCAAGCAACACACAGCGCTCTAATAACTCGGTTGGGATACTCTTTTGCATCCACCTTATGGTCCGAACATCACAACAAATGATTAACATCTGTTACCTATAGACCTAAACGGGGTTAGGTCGCCGAAAGGGTGACAGCCCTGGATATTTTAGCAGGTTAAACCCAACGTATGCCCTACATGTGGAGAGTCTCCGCACGACACTAACCACCTCTTCACATGCCCTCTCAAACCAACTAATCTAACCCCCTCTCCCTCTGGTCCAACCCCGTCGAAACAGCTCGTTTCCTGGACCGGCCACTTGATGTCCTCGGCGACTGAGACTGATCAAACCTCTGCCTAAGCGAGGTTAGCGAACCGCTATAACAACAACAACAACAACAATAACGTCTGTTCCTGTTTCTGGTTAGTTAAGAATTGGAATGAATAGAAGCCTGTGGAAATTGATTGTGACAATACGAGCAAGGGTTTCTATGAGAGAGTCGTAATGACTTCACCTTCAAAATGGCAAAAATTTATAGAGCAAAACGCATATTTAATATAAATCGGATCTAATCTGACTATGGCAAGTAAAGCCTTCATTTAAATGTGAAAATAATGGACGACTTGTTACTTGACCGTTATATGTGTAAATGCAACTTGCAAAGCGCTTCACTTCCGCTTAATATCTCACCGCGGTCGATCGCTTCACTACGCTTAAGTGTTTATTGTATAAATATATATATGGATATTAATATTAATTTATTGTTTTTTCTATTAATGGCTCACACCCACCCACCAGCGAACCAACTGCTTTTATACCTATATAATGCGAATACATACATACATATAGTCGTTTTTGTGCGCCAATTTGCATGCAAAGTGAGTCAGACGGGGTGTCACATTTAAATGCCGGGCGCCCCAAAGTCACATACAAATGAAGCGGTTTCATTTGGCAACGCTTGCCTTATACATACATAAATGTATTTAATATTATTATTCATTTAACAAATAATATTTAATTATTGCAAAAGCGTCTTAAAGAAATATTTTAAAAATACTTATGAGCCAAATGCCTTCAAATGATTTCTAAGAAAAGTGAAACGAACACTTGCATCATGGCATTCATTCATCGTTTTCATGCAAAAATAAAACAATTTTGAAAAGTTGAAATAAAAATTTTTTATAAGAAAATTAAACCGCAGAAAAAGTAAAAAGAAAAAAAATAAAATATTCATTTATTTATTCTTGAGGGGTAACCACTCTAGAGGTTGAAAAATAGACTCATTTTTTTAAATTTATTGTAGTAATATTGGAAAAGAAATATAATTTCTATTTAACCATTGCATTGAACATATATTTAAGTATAAAAAAATATTCCGTAATTATTATTTTGTTACAAAATAGCGGTGAAGAAGTTCATTATTACATCCACGTTTTTTTGAAAGGCGTCTACGGGAGAACCGTTTCCTTCTAAAGGATGAGACTTAGAACAGAAAAGCAAAAAGTTTTATGATCTACAAACTATGGCCTTTGGAAGTACGTACATTTTTATTTTTTAACTAATTTTTGTAAAAGCGGCTCACTTTTTATTTTAAGATTTGAATTTTGATTTAAAAATACGCATTAAATTATTTGAAAAAAAGTTTACATTTAATCGAGAAACGGCTACACGTACTTCCAAAAAAAAGTATTTGAGAAGCTACCATCGATAAATCAATGCAATAGAGTACGAATAATCTGTCCTCCCAGTTTGAAAAAGATGATTTTGGGAAAAACGCGCTTAAAGTTTTCATTGTGCTCAACACACGCTCTGAGGCGCTGCAGCAAATTAAAAAATTCAGCTATTTGAAATATATATTTTTTTTTCATTTTAAGACCAATTGCATATCATTCCTAGAACCCAAAGGTACCCTATAAGAAGAAAAAATATATCTCTTACCCCTTAATTAATAAGTTCTTAAACTAATGTACTAATGTATTGAAAGAATGCAGCAACCCGAAAGAATTTAACTACATATACTGGAACGCATGAGAAGAGACCAACTGTAGCTTTGCTTTTTGTACTTGAGGCACCAATAGATCACTGTTCCGATTTAATCGCTTAAAAGAGTCCTTTCACAAAAATACGAAAAATCATAAAGTTGCTAACTCAATCCCAAGTACAGCTAGGTCCTTCTCTACTTGGTCTTTCCAATTAGGTGGAAGTCTTCCTCTTCCTCTGCCTCTACCAGCGGGTGCTGCATCGGATACTTTCAAAGCTGGAGTATTCTTATCCATCCGAACCACATGACCTGGCCAACGCAGCCGCTGTTTCTTGAAGCGCTATTAATATCGCTGTATATCTCATATCATATCATCATTCCATCGGCTGCGGTATTCGCTGTTCTCAACTTGTAGAAGACCGTAAATCAGACTCAAAACCTTACTCTTGAAAATTGCTAACGCCGCCTCATCAGATGTTGTCATCGTCCTTGCCTCCGCATATAGCAGGTTGAAACGACTTTGTAGATTTTGGTCTTCGTTTTTCGAGAGACAGTCCAAAGTAGACTTAGTAGATTTTGGTCTTCGTTTCTCGATAGACAGCCCGAAGTAGCATTATTATTGGTGTTAATGCTGGTCCCTAGGTAGACGAAAATATCTACCACTTCAAAGTTATGACTGTCAACAGTGACGTGGGGCCAAATCGTGAATGTGATGACTGTTTGTTTGATGACAGAAGATATCTCGTCTTGTCCTCGTTCACTAGCAGGCCCATTTCCTTTGCCTCCTTACCCAGTCTGGAGATAGCAGAACTCACGACGTGGTTATTGAGGCCTGGGATATCAAAATCATCGGCATTCGCCAGTAGTTGTACACTCTTATAGAAGATTGTACCTTCTCTATTCAGCTCTGCTGCTCTCCCGCAATAAATTATATAAATCACACTATAAGGAATCACTCTGTCTGAAACCTCGTATAAGTTAAGTATCGAAAGTTGCTTTAAAATCGTCGAAAAGGATCCTCTTTTCACGTGTCTTTAACGTGGCGAATAGCTGGTCAATGGTTGATTTGCCAGGTCTAAAGCTAACGTCTCTTATAACAGATCAACGAAAAAGGAAAAAAAGAAACCGTGTATTCATATGCACAACTAGAGGAGTTTTGCCTTCTTACTTTAGTTCGCCTCTAAATGGGTGATTTCTGGACACACAGAGAAAACAGAGGAAGTCGTGAGCCGGTTCTGGCCACACCATAAGGGAAATTTCCCAATTTCCTGGTTTGATTTTAAGGGATATAAAGGTAGTTCATGTTGGTAGAGCTACTCTCAATGGTGCGAAATTTAAGACTAGCCTTTTTATGGGATATTCAGTATTGATTCTCCCTTAACTAATTTGAAGAAAGCTGTTTGTCTATGCCAACAACAACAAACGAAGAAAAAATAGAGAATTAGTCACTATCAAAAAAATTCTGAGTGTATTTGCGCAGCAGCTATTAGAAAAACCAAGAATCCGAATATTTTAAGAGGTTAATGAAGATCATTTTTTCTACCTAAAAATCTAAAAACTGTGAAGGTAGAACCACTCCCGGAAACTTACAACGTGAACCCACAATAACGGCGATTTAGTCAACTTCATTTTATATAAACTTCTAATAACATTAAGTGTTAATTGAACTAAATTCTATCTATATAATTTTTATCAAATTAACGAAATAAATGTAAATGTTAATAATTTCCCATTTGTTTGAAAGACTTCGTATAAAAACTTATAATACAACCGCCCCTAATGTCAAGCATGACAACCATTTTCGAACGCAGCTGCAAGGTTGCATTGTAACGTACTAAGCATATGACAATAAACAAATAAAGGAATTCTTAAAGCAGCAGTCACTTTTTGTTAAAGAAGATAACGGAAAATAACTTCAATTAATTCAATTGATCACAAAAATTCAAGGATGCAAAAAAATTATCAAATAATAAATTAATAATAATGTTAAAGGTTATGCAGCTTTTTTATTTTCATTGCAGGCAACACTTTCGGTAAATGGTTGTCTCAAATGTGACAGCTGAAATGTTTTGACATTTCAATTAAATGGGAAAAGTTGGAGTTTGTTGTTATCTGCTACTTTGCGTATAAATAAAAAATGTGAAATAAATAAATAAACTGTGTACAATAAAAGTTTGAAAGACAGCGGGGTGTATAACAGCATTAGACGGGTGTAGAATGGAAACAGATGATTTGACGCACATAGCAGAAGAGTATAGACTGGATAACACAGATTTTGGTACGTGAATGCCGCCAGCAGTCATATTTTTGAGATTGTGGAAAAGTTGTTTAAAAATTGATATTCTTGCAGATAACATAATGGCGGATGAAATATTCCAGCATCATAATCTTTACATGGATGATCAAGAAATGGATGAAAATGAGCCCGACGATGTCATCATTTTGCATATGGATATACGCGAACCATTGCGTACATTGCAGTAAGTATACCAGGCCGGATGTAAGCATTTCCTGCTTAAATAATTTTCAATAATACAACGTTGATTATAATGATAATTCTCATAATTACTTTTACAGAAAACTAGCAGAAAAGAAAATTGGCATGAATTTGAAAGGATATAAGTTCTTTTTACAGGATACACAAGAGGTTTGTATTTACATATAATATATGCAAGATATATTTCGTTTAAAAAACTCATACTTTCAGTTGGAATCACATAAAAACCTTGTGGATCAATGCGTAAAAGGTGAAGGACTAGTGCAGATTAATGTACAAATACAGACATCTGAACAGCATATAAACATTGTAGACGTACTAAAACCGACAGAGGCGGCTTTGGGTAAATATTTTCTTTTATGGAAAATTTTTGGAAAACTTATACATGTATTTATATTTCAGCTGCTCTAGCTGCGGAGGAATTAAACAACAAAGATATTGGAAAGTCGGAAGATTCCGAGGAAAAACCTTGTCTCAACTGGGTACTAGACAATAAATTCAAGAAAGAACAAATACGTCTTAAAATACCAGAGGATCCTAACGAATGGACAACTGCACAAGTGAAACATTGGTTTCAATGGGCTATCAGACAGTTCGAGTTGGTAAGTACAGGAATGTAATTGATAAAACGTGGCGTGCCTACTCTGAAGTTTATAAATTGCTTTTCAAAGTAAAGAATAACAAATTTATTGTAGTAGTGGTGATTAAGAATTTAATAGCTTTCTTTAATTTTTTCTTAAAATGATCTCCCAAAAATCAGATGTTCTATTCAAGTTTGCTATACTTTAGCTTTTCTTTGTAGAACCAGCTTATTTATTTTCCTAGCGCTCTACGAACAACGCCTCCTTGCACTTGCTGCTGCCTATATCTCCAGGTTAGGTTAGGTTGAAGTGGTCGATCTATCAAGGTTTAATTAGTTTTACCAAAAACACTATTTGCATCACTAGCTTGCAAAGCACTGGTGTTATTTTCGTACCTTTTCCAACACCTGTCATCGAGGTTATCTATCGAGAGCTATTTCGACTGGATCGGTCCAGAGGAAAAGGTTGCTTAGATGAGATATTTTCAGGGGGCAAGCAAAGAGGTAGTAAGTGTTTAGGGCATTCATTGCAGGCAGGACATACGTTAGGTATTTCGGGCTCCATCCTGTATAAGCAGGAGTTTAACCGCCTACAATATCCACACCTGAGTTGGACCCTGACACAACTCAGGTCTGGATATTGTAGCAGATTAAACTCCTACCTATCCAGACTAGACCATACCCAACGTATGTCCTGCATGTGGATAGTCCCCGAACGACACTAACCACCTCTTCACATGCCCCCTCAAACCCACTCATCTAACCCCCTCTCCCTTTGGTCCAACCCCGTCGAAACAGCTCTTTCCTGGACCTACCACTAGATGACTTCGGCGACTTAGACTGATCAAACCTTTGCCTTAGCGGGGTTAGCGAACCGCTACAACAACAACAACACCTGAGTTGGGACGTGAGACTCTCGATGCAGCTTAAACTCTTCGTTTGTAAATAATTGTCGTTAAACTCATTCATGCACTGGAAGAGAGTTCAGGAAGGTGTTGACGGGCACTCGGTGAGTGGCGGTTTATGCCTCTTGGTTAGCTCCAGTCCTTGAGATCAAGTACTTCCGATGTGCCTAGGTGGTGGTCGACTACTTAATAATAGCATTATTTGTTGTTGTTGTTATAGCGATTTGTCAACCTCGGGCCACAATTAAGGGGGATAAGATGAGTTGGTTTTAGGGAGCATGTAAAGAGGTTGTTAGTGTAGTGCGGGGACTCATTGCAAGTTAGGTATGTTGGTGTCAACTCTGGATATATAGGAGTTTAGTCCCGAGTTGTGTCCCGTCTCTCGATGCAGCTCGAGCTCTTCTCTACGACTCTCACGATTGCCGGTTCCATGTACCGGAGGGAAGACATACCTGTTGTAAGAGGCGACTAAAATCCAATAGTTTCCGTGACAGTCGGATCTTTATACCGTTAAAGACCCGTATCTTCATCCTGCCATTTACTGTTTCTCACGAAATGTTCAAATATTCTCCGAAAACCAATTATTTTGCGGTTACAGCAACAACCTGGATTTTATCCGCACAAAGTCTGCCACCTTTCAATGACGTAACTCCCTTTAGATCAGCAGGTGACTTAAAATAGAATTAGTCATTTTGGTCTCTTGCCCATTACTGGTGGAAGGTCTTGCAGCCTCACAAATTACAAGCTCCATTGTCTTCATAAACCTAGATTAAAGTCAATATCTTTTACTAGCCTGAAATCCGGCCATTAAGCTAAAGCAACCGCATTTTATATAAATCAAATAGAGAACATACTTAATTTTCCTTTCCAGAGTGGTGTTAGCATGAACGATTGGAGTATGACCGGCAAGGAGCTTTGTTCTCTAACGCATGAGGAATTCCGACGAAAGCTGCCAAAAGATCCGGGAAATGTTTTCTGGACACATCTGCAGTTACTCAAAGAGTGTAAATTTGTCTCTGTTATACACAAAGTGCCCGATGATCGTGGCGCCTCCGGTAGTGGAGCTAGACAAGTGACCAGTACTGGTGGCATGCCAACGAAAGAATTAAAAATTATGCGGAAAACTAGCTTAGGTACAACAAAAACCAACAGTAAGAATTGAAAATTTTGGTAAAAATTTGGGGGAAAAAAATGCTGATTAATAATTATATTATTTCCACTGTTTGCCATTAATTTGCTAGCTCCTGGAAGCATGGATGGTACACAAACACAAAGCGCACTTGCCAATAACAGCATCAGCGGTAGTAGCGGCAGTGGCAGTGTGGGCAATAATTACGGTATCGGTTCCGGTAATAATGGACAAGTGCAACTATGGCAATTTCTGCTCGAAATACTTACGGATCGTGAACATCGAAATATCATACAATGGGTAGGCACCGAAGGCGAATTCAAACTCATCGACCCAGAGTGTGTGGCACGCCTGTGGGGCATTAAGAAAAATAAACCGCTAATGAATTATGAAAAACTATCACGGGCATTGCGTTATTACTACGACGGTGATATGATATCGAAGGTGTCGGGTAAACGTTTCACATACAAATTCGATTGTGACCTCAAACTGTTGATCGGTTACGATGCAGACGAACTCTCGCAATTGGTGAATGGCAAGACGTGTTTCGATGAATCAATGTTTATGAAACAAGAAACACTGCAAGACCATTTGAAACAACTTGCGGACGATGGGTGACATGCCGGCGAGTTTATAGTGAAAACAGAGCCTCTGGATTGCAGATTAGAAATAGAGCCTTGCCACGAATATGAGGTATTCGAGGAAATCGTTGAAGAAGAGGAAAATTAATGAATGAATGAATTGCGTTTTGATTTCTTATTTACTTTATACTATCTACTTTTTACACTGACACAAAATATTTTATTTACATTATTGATATTCGAACTATGGCGTTTTCAACAAATACGAAAAATATATAATTTCATCACTTTATTTCATATGCATACATACAAAACAAACAAAAAAAAAATACGAGTAGTTTTTTTTTATTTATATTTTTTATTGGTACTTTCTTTTTGGGTTTGTGTACTTTTTCGATAATTGTGTTTTTAGATTTTTACATTTGACAAATTCGCTTAATTAAATTTTTATATTTAATTTAAAGAAATTCAAGCTTTACGATATTCGATTTTAAGTTATTTGTGTGTGTTTTTTTTTCTTTTATTGACTAGTTCATTTTTATAGTTTCACATTTCTCTTCGCTTAAACATAAAATAAGGCATCTCAGTATATGTATTTTATTAATTGTTTTTTTATTTTGTTTTCTTTTTTTTGTTTTTTTTTATCCTATTACTAAGAGCAAACATTTACTATAAACTAGGAATGTTTTGCAGAGCTTTTTCTAGCTTATGGAAGCAAAGTATCTTTTCACGCTAGTCGCTGCTTGGCGGCAACTGGGCGGCATTTTTTGTTTTTGTATTTTTATTTAATCGTTGTGACTTTCGCTATTCTATCATTTTATGACAGTTTTTGTGTTATGTTCTTGTGCATAGATTCTTGCTAGGGGGACATAGCTTTATGCGTTCTTACATGAATACATGTACTGTTACATATATATTAGGTGTAGTAAAAAGAAATCCATTATTTTTCCAATAAATGGCGTTATTTATCTGTATCACGCATTGTATAAGTCCAATCGGGTTTAGCTGGATGGCGTTAGAAAGATGACATTTCGTACTAAAAAAAATTCTGATAGTTTTTTGATTGGTTGATTCAGTTTTGTGATCGATTGATTCAGTTTTGTTGGAGCGTGCGTCAAAAAATGGACATTAGTAATGAGAAAATACGCTATATTTTACAGTTTTTCTTCGATAAGGGCGAAAGCGGAAGCCGAACGAAACGAAACGAAAATGTGTATAGCGTTTATGGTTCTGATACTGTAACAGTCAATCATGCACAATTTCGATTTCATGCCAGTAATTTTGATGTGGATTTTGAAAAAGATGTTTTACGGAATGGAAGGCCAATTTTCGAAAATGTCGTTGAAATCATGGACACTGTCGAGTCCGAACGTCATGTAAGCACTATTTCGATAGTCCAAGAGCTGAAGATTGCACAAAAAAAAAAAAAACGTTTGGAATCATTTGAAATGAAACCATTTTAATTTCAATTCAAAAGTAATGGATTTCTTTTTACTACACCTAATATGTATACAAACTATATGTATGTATGTAAGTATTTGTGACATAGGCTGGTTGTATATTACAGGTTTTGTGAAAATTGTTTGTATGTAAATACATGTTTGTGTAAATGTCGGTTTGTATGTACATATTTGTGTAAGTTGTAAGCAAAAACAAAATAATACTTTTTAGCAACTAAAACTACGCGCTGCTCTATATGTAAAGTAAAATAAAACCTAATTCACATAAAAATAATTCTACATTAATATTAGGTGTAAAAAACTAACATAATTACATGATTGGCTTCATGTGATAAGAAACAAAAATAAAAAATAAAAAAAAAACAGAAAACAAAAACAAAACACATTCACATAATGAGAATATTTCAATAAATACATATACAAATGTAAATGTACATTATAACTCAGTCGTGATTTCATCCTGTGGCCTAAAGCCCAGCTTATAGAATTCATCCTCGAGCCACAGCGAACTCGCATTGAGATCCGATATCAGATTGCCGTTCTTCAGCGTATTGAAGCTGCTGCCAAACGGATCGGACGGTCGTGGTTCTTCGAATTCGTGCAGACTTATGAGCGAGCCGAACATGTGCAATTTCTGTTGGCCCGTACCCGGCAACATGCTTTGTCTATACAGATTGCTTTTTTGTGGAAAGAATGTTGCATCGAAGTCATCAGTAATACCACCGCCGCTACTTCCGCCGCGACCACCACCCACACCGGATGGTTGAAAGAAATCGATTAAATGACCCACTTGCGGTTTGTAACGCTCCAACGCTTGTTCGGACCACGCATACAAACGATTCCAGTCATGCGGCGCCGCCGGTATCAATTCGATGGGTCTATTTAATAGTATCAATATTTTGGCAAGATCTCGCACGATCGGTCGGTAGGAATTTGCTGCGCTCACTTCGCCGGATAAATACAATTTGCGTATTTGACGTCGTGTATCGTTCAACATGGCTAGGAAATATTCAGCATTCGGACGCATTTCGTTGAGCTGTCGTAGGAAATCGGAACGATCCATGGTGTTTTCATTAATTAATTTCTGTTTAATAGTTTTACGCCGCCGTCGTCGTCGTACTAACATCATGGCAACAGCCAGCAGTGTGAGACAAACGACAAAGCCGCCAATAAGACCTGCTATAGCTGCCATCACAGGACCCGAGTAGCCGGTGGAGACACAAACGCGTCCCATAAATTCGGTATGCGCCGACCATTGATCGATGTAGCCGGACGGACATTGCTCCACACACTGCCTGGTGTCGGTCATCAGGTAGGCTGGACACTTGATGCAGCCCTCGCTGTTGCAACGCAAACAATGCGAACTTGTGGTAGGTGGGCAACCTGGAATGAGAAGAAAGTTGGGAGAAAGTTAGTCGGAGTAAATAAATCGTTTGTAAATATTTAAAATATCAGTTTATTATTGTTTGTAAGAAAAGAGACTTATAAAGCTAAATTAAAAAGCTCAATATGGCACACAAAAAGGGTGGTCGTCTCGGATATGGAAAACTGTCTACCCAAATTCACAGCATATCTTAAAAGACATGTACAAATTTTGTCCGTTGTCCATATTGGTCGCGAAATAATCTGGTTCGCTCCGGCGTATACATATAGACAACAGTTGTAAGTGAGTAGGAGTGTTTAGCGCGGCTAAATCATCACAGACACACAACCTAGAGGCTGCAATATCTTAGTCATTTGTCGCCTTCGTCTTCTTTAATGGCGTAGACCCAGCTTACGTGTCTATAACCCAGTTCATAATAACAGCGCGCCGGCCTTTTCTTCATTTCACCATTTTCAACGAAGTTGATGTCTCCCTCTTCCTCTGTTCCCACCGGCAAGTGCTGGCTCGAATACTTACAAGGCTAGAGCTGCTAGATAAGACTGATCCTGCCTTGGATTCCAATACTGAAGCCTATAACAATACCATCGGTGTACGCCAGTAGTTGTATACTCTTATTGTACCTTTTCTGTTTAGCGGCTACATATTATTTTCTCCATCATCAATTTAAATAAGTCACATGATAAGGAGTCACTTTATCAGAAACCTAGCTTTGTATCGAACTGCACGGAACAAGGTGTATAGGCGGATGCTTTTCGTGCTGTCGAAGGCTGCTTTAAAATCAATGTAGAAGTCGTATGGGTAAATCAATATATCACGTCTTTACCAAGATTCGACGCAGTGTTTTTAGTCGTGCCCAGATGGTTCGATGGCTTAAAGAGTTTAAGGAGGCGCCCCGCCCGAAAAAAACTAGCATGAGCAAGTCAAAGGTGAAAACGATGATTATTGCTGCCTTTTCTGATAGCCGTGGAATCGTCCACAAAGAATTTCTTCCACCGGGGCATACCGTAAATCAAGTCTACTATCTTCAAATACTCGAAAGATTACCAAAACGAGTCAACAGGGTGCGCCCAGACATCGCTCGTAACTGGATCCTTCATCACGACAGCTCGCCGCGCCACACCGCCCTCAGTGTATTCCAGTATTTGGCCTCTAAAGGAATCGCCGTGTTGCAACAACCGCCTTATTCTCTCGATATGTCAGCCTGTGACTTTTTTCCCTAGAACAAAATCGATGGTCAAAGAAACCCAGAAATGTTACGAAGTATGGAAAACGCGCTGGAATCGGCAGTTTTTATGTCAGTCGCATTACTTAATTGTAACACCTCGCTCGATACGATCTTATAGGTGATACTGAGGAGACTTCTCCCACGCCGCTTTGTTGTTATCCAGGCGGGCAATTGATCATCTATTTCGTCCTAATCGATTCGACATACGGTTTTATTGTGCGTTGCGGTCACTCTCAACGTTGCGTGGTAAGTAGTATTTTTTCGCTCCACTGCGATACGAAAACCCTGATCGTACCAGCTATTTTTTGGACCTTGTCCCACAGTTCCCTCATATCAAGTTGTTGATGAGTGTCCTCAGATACCAAGAGTGTAAATCGAGCAGGAAAACATTTCGTTGTCTGTTGTGATTACAACTTCCCGACGTCTAACCTTTCTCATGTTTGTTGACGATCGTTCTTTGCTGCACAGAGGTGTATACATTACTCGACTGCGACGAGGTGGTTGTAAGCGTTGATACTTGAATCTCGAAACGTGCCTACGTCTAGAACACTGCATGTCAACATGGCGTTCGTCTATCACAATGTCGTTCATTTGATTACAAGCTCTCCGATTAGATTCTCTCTGGTACTACAGACAACCGTATTTCGATCCACCGAGCTCCCACATCCCATCCTAACAAGATCAAGTCACGTTCAGGTGATAAAATATAATTTTCAACCATTAATGAAGGGCCATCCTTGGTGGGATCTGTGACCAATTACATACATTTTCTGGAAAAACACACTTCATGTGTCTTTCGAGATTTCGATTAATTACCTATTGATATTAAAGCGATAAATTATTCATTCGATCACCATTTAATTACAGTTAATTGGAATGACTTCAGAAGAAATTTCAAAACTTTTTCCAAAAAAAAAAAAGACTCTCGCTGGCACGAGTATGCTCATTCGAATTCACAGATTGGGGGGAAAATATGTAAATTTATACGTATTAATTTGTCACTTAAATCGATTAAGACCATCGAAGCCGATTAAGCGCATGTTTTGGAATTATGAGAGTAAACAATGCTGGCGGACAAGCTGACAAATCGTCGTCAGGTGCTGCTGTTAAAAAATTATTGATTGGACAATTAATCATAATTATGATGATTAATTAATTGTCATGTATTCGTATCTACATACGAGTACATATGTATATACAATACATACATATGTATATTGGCATTTTTTATACGGTTATATGATACACAAACTTAAGCTTATTTACCCTGCCACTCTTTTTGTAATATTAACGGTATTTTTATTATTTCCAAATATGTATAAGTTCGGAATTTCGACACACGTGCCAAATTTGGAAAGAGCAAAGCGTTTGTTAGGCAGCCGAGTGGTTATAAGTTCGTACTATCATACGGAAGGTCCTGACCCACCCGACCAATATAAAAAAATATAGAAAATTAGCTTGGACAAAAAAAAAATTAAATTGATTTTTCTAACTGCGATCGTTCCTCGACGGGGATTGTCGTTAAAACCAACCATAAGCAAGATTTTTTCGAATAGATCGTTCCCAGGCCTGTTTCAGGGAAGAAGAAGTGTTCATTATGTCAAAATATGCAAAGAGCTACCTCGGAACAAAGTTTCATATGATCCAAAGGTTTTTATTTTATATTATTTATAGATTTTTTTCCTTTAAGAGAGTATCCTTACATATCGGATGCCTAGTTTCAAGTCTCTACGATTAGTGTTTTATACTGTGGGCGTATTCGTCGTCACTTTTTCAGTTCAAAGCCCTTTTTATATATAATTGGCGCTTTGTAACAGCTGAAGCGATTTTCGGCCGGGCTACTCTCCCAATTTGCGGTTTTTGCGTCTTGTTGAAGTTTTCCAACAAACGGAGGGACCTACAGTTTATACCGAGCCCCACCCGAACACTGATGGTTGTTTTTATGAGGAGCCTTTATTTCATGTCAGAATGCCATGGCTGTATTGCGAACATTGTATAATCATCTGGGATACACGAAGAAATCTGCTCTGCTAAATGAGGCCCAAAAAACGATCGAGTGCATTTTTCTCCATTTTTCCTAAACAAATTGGAAAATGGTTAGTCTACCAACTTTAATAACATCGTTACTGGTGACGAATCTTGCTTCCATAAGTACGATTCAGAATCCAAACAGCCCAAAAGGAGCAAACCCACCCGTAAAACAGCAGCAAAAGTATTGACTACAGCCTACTTTACCCGATTTAAAATCGTTGCTGCTATTCCACTGGAAAAGGGTCAGATAGCAACTGCAAAATAGTACACCGAAGAGTGCTTACCAAATATTTTCAAAAATTTGATGAAACACAGGAAGAAAGAGGATTTGCGGCGCTACTTTCTACATCAAGACAACGCGCCATCCCACACTGCTGAAATAACGAGTAATTTCATTGCTATCTCTGGGATCGAAGAAAAACGTCCAGCACCATGTTCTTCGGATATAGCACCTTGTGACTTTTGGTTAATTGAAAAATTAAAAAAAAATTTAAAAAGAAAGATCTCTAACGGCACAGAGGAGATGCGGTTAATGCCGAGCTCGATAAGTTTAAAAAGCAAAACTTTGAAGACTGTTTTCAGAAGTGGATCTATGGGCTTAAGACATGCATAGAAATCAATGCCGCTTATGTAGAGAAAAAAAGACAAAGATTACGAAGAAATACTAAAAGGTTTTTTTTCTGGCCAACTTACCGAACTTTTGTTAATCCCCTCGTACATGCCCCTCAAGTAAGTTAAATCTTTCAGCTGTTTTCGCTGTTGATAAGGATTACAAAGTGTATGAGATATTAACCTTTACTTATGTTGGGTCTGCTACGAATGGGCGAGAATTAAGAGTGGTTTAAGCGTTTCCAAGAGGACCGTGAAGGTATTTAAGATGACGAATGACCGGAACGTTCCAGTACTTCTATCCGATGAAAACTTGGAAAAAGTGAAAGATAACGTCAAGTCATATCATTTTTCAAATGTCTCGGGATTAAAACGTTTGCGGGCAAAATTTCGAAGTTGCTCGGGACTCAATAAATGAAGCCAACGAAAATAAAACTGAAATATATTTTGTTCAGGTGATTAAACATGGGTTTATGGCTCTGACGTCGAAACTAATTCTCAATCTTCGCAGAGAAGGTATTCTGGCATCGAATAAGACACGACAAGTGCAGTCGAATGTGAAGGTTGTGCTCACTGTGTTCGTCGATTTTAATTGCATATTGCATTTTGAGTTCTGGCACTAGCTGAAAGGTCCACTCCGTATGGACTGCCGACAAGTTCAATGTCGTCTACTTGAAGCAATCCGGAAAAGAAAGGAACGAATTTAACGATAAACAAATCATGGCTGTGAGTGACTTTTTCCTATTTCCAAAAGTATTGAGAAAGTTTTACAGCCGTGAATGTGAACGGAAGAAACGTTGGCATAATCTTTAGTGCGGACGATTTTGGAGGCTACAACATCCACGCCTCGTATATACACAGTTAGTTAGTTGGTTTAACAGGTGGCTTACTCACGAAATCCTGATCAAGCGCACTTAGGGTCCATTCCTTTCACCTTTCCAAATGTGCAAACCACTTGGAGTGTCTTATGAACTTCAGAAGATTGATTACACCAACCGATGTAAGCTCAAAGAAGAAATTTCCGTGAACACGATAGCGGCCAGCGCTGAGATCTGGAGAGTAACAGAGGTAGTGTGCCTCCGATTCCTTCTCATCTATGCCCCAACAGCTGTAGCTGAGGCCGTTAGAGAAAAA